TTATGCTAAGATCCAACTAACTATAATCTCCTTACCTAAACACATTAAATTCTGACCTTGTTTTTCAAAATTTTGATTGAATTTCTTGACCTCACCGTTTTTTCCCCTTTTATAAAATTATCTCAACATGATTAATTTTATATGTGAACTTTATTTAAAACGAAAAAATTAAAACTTCAATCATGCTACAAGTACAGAAAATTTTAACAATAAATTTTCACAGACAACACATGACGTGATGATGGAAGAACAACACACAAAAAAAGGTAAATCGAAATTCGCCACATCAGCATCCGTATGAATTCGATAAAAAATTCTCTGTACGCGAGACTTTTTTCTTGAAACTTTAGCTAATTTTGAGAGATTTACTCTAATCACTAAATTGAGTTATAATCAGAGGTGTACGGCAAAATAGATGTGTCGAGCTAGAATAATTGGTTGGGGACAGGGTTAGTTGGGAGATTTAATTTTCTTCTACTTTTATTTTTATAAAGTTTATTTCATATTAGATATCATTGTCCAAAAATAGAAAAAAAAAATTGATTTTTTTTTTTTTAAATGGGAATATGAGTCAGAAAATCTAGAAGATTGGCCTGTACTAATTAGAAGTAAACACGGCCACGAGTTGTCCTGGATGCTGTAACCAAATTGATGAAGAGAGAGATGGAAATACTACAGGTTGTTTGATAAAGCTTTAAATAAAAAATTTAATAGATTTTTTATAAAAAAAATTGATGAAATATTTGATATAATATTTATAAAAATTATGAATCTTATAAAATATGAGATTATTCACTTTATCAAACAAGCACCGTTTTTGCTTACCTAACACCCCTCGTCTCTTCTCCTTTCACAAAGTATAAATCTAGTTAGTTAGGGTTAAAAATATGGAAGGAGGAGACAAATTTGAGATAGCGACGAACGGTTGGGTCAATCATGCTACTTATACATTTTATTTGGTATTGTGCCACATGTCAGGACATGATTGGACAAATTTTGAATTCAACCCACTTTCTTCCAAAGTATTTTTGAAAGGAAACAGGTGGGTCCCACCCATATGAGTGCCATTATGTACAAATTTTTATGTACACATAGTACACTCCTTTTTTAAAATGAACACAATACCATCCAAATTGCCATCCAAACTTTATTCTTTTTGTTTTAATTTATCAAATTGTCCAATGGAAAAATGACACGTGTCACCCCTATTAGCGTGCTTTTCACTGTGGATGTATAGCATAATTGTTTCACTAATTTGCACCAGTTTTTATCCTGTTAAAATTGCACTTTTGGTCAACCTAACTTGTAGCTTTATTTCATGTCGGTCATTTAATGCATATTTGTTTAGTTTTAGTTTGAGTATTCTATTTATAGCCGCGCGCGAACAAAGCTAATTAATAGAGTGGTGAGCTAACATGCTTGTTTGACGTTAAATTAGTAATTTTTTGTTTGCAATGAATTGAATTATCGTAACATTGATTTTGTCATAAATCTAAATAGAGAATCGAGGCAAAGCATCACATCAAAGTAATTAAGGATATGTGAATAAAACCTCTTACTAATCTACGATGGGTTTAGGATCTTTAAAAAATATAAAAATAAATAAGAATCCTGAAGTTGTCTTTATCAAAGAAGCACTAAATCATGTATGATTTAATGGTTATTTGACAAAAAGAATTAACAATTTTTCATAAAATGCGAAATTACTTCGAGATTCTTGTGTCATCACCATTGTACATAATTATGAAATCGAGCCAAAACTCCCAATAGAGATAAGATCACATAATCTCTTACATTGGTTTTACCAAAAAACATAAAATAAAAATGAAGAACCTTAAAAGTTGTCTTCTTACTATTTCCTTTCATTTTGCATAACCTAGTATCAAACAAATACCAAGTCAGGCATTCCATCCGTCATATGGGACTAAACTAGTTTTAACGTGTCCTTAAATTTTTTCATGCATCTTGTTGATTTTCATTCAAAAACTCTGCTGGGGAGAATAAAAGAACTTTTTTACCCCTAATTTTTTAAGTGAAAAACAATTATAAAATTGCCACTAAATATTACTCCTTCATTTTAAAGCACTTTAATAGTATTAACATTAGGCCACGTTTGGCACATCACATTAGGCCGCACAAAAATTAATATCTATTGAAATGTCATTTTCTATATCTTCCTTATCCGGCTTAAATTCACCTCCAACCTTTTTATTATGTTATTGGGTTGACATCTTTTGAATAAAAATTTAAAGATTACAGTTAGTTTTAATCCACTATAATACCATCTAACTATTAATTAATGTCCATTATAATTTTGTGTTAAATTTCTTACAAGGCTTAATTCAGCCCCTGTTTGATGCCCATTACCTGAAAATGAAAATAGGGGGAATAGTATTTTTTAGAAAAATGAATGATTAAAAAAGAAAGAAAAATTTTCGATTTACTTGTAATATTATTTTATGGAAGATTTTGTGGTTGAAAATAGGAGAGAGAGAAATTGAATGTAATGTAATTTAATTTAATGGGGATCAAATAAGGGCTGATATACTCCACACAACTCATAAAGATAGACTTGTTTCTACTTTCACACAAATTAAGAAATTGAAATTAATACAGTTGAAAATATAAATTTTTCTTACATTTTCCAATATACTCTTATATTAAATAATAGTTTAATTAGGAATTGTTCATAGTTGATAACAAGACATATTAAATATGGATATATTAAAAAATTTTAAAAAAATATATTTAAACTCTTAGCAAGGAAAGTGACATATAATTTGAGATAGACGAAAAATGAAAATAAATCTATTTTTATGGGATGGAAAGATTAATAAACATAGTGTTAATACAATTAAAATGCACAATTACATTCGAAATGTAGTGTATTTATTAAATGGTGTAAACCGCCGTAGTGAAAATTTTCCATTTTTTTCCACCATTGATTCTGGCATAGTGCATTTAACACCCACAATTTTGTTTTGTTGAGAATTTCAATAGCTTTAAATACCTCACCTGTAATTTCAAGCAATTTTTCATTCATATACAACTCGCTGAAACTTCGCCTTCATCATTATCCTCAAACAACAAACAATGGAGCATTCCCTTTCATCTTCTCCACTCTCTCCTTATTATCACATAATTTTCACAGCCTTGGCTTTCATTTTGTCAGGTTTAATCTTCTTGTTTACTCGTAAATCTAAGGCCAAAAGCCTCCATCTGCCGCCGGGGCCTCCGGGGTGGCCGGTGGTGGGCAACCTCTTCCAAGTTGCACGCTCCGGCAAGCCATTTTTTGAGTATGTAAGAGAAGTACTTATACCCAAATATGGCCAAATTTTTACACTCAAAATGGGCACAAGAACTATGATTATAATCAGCAGTGCAGATTTAGTCCATGAAGCACTGATTGATAAGGGTCAGGTTTTCGCCTCCCGGCCGAGAGAAAACCCGACCAGAAACATCTTCAGCTGCAATAAATTTACAGTAAACGCTGCCTTGTATGGCTCCGTGTGGCGGTCCTTGCGGCGGAACATGGTGCAAAACGGGCTCAGTGCAAGTAAACTCAGAGAATTCCGGCGAGCCAGAGAGACTGCAATGGATAAACTGGTCGAGAGGCTGAAGGCCGAGGCCGAGGCTGAGAACGGTGTTGTTTCAGTGCTGAAAAATGCCAGATTTGACCTTTGTCTATATCATTTTTGATGACTTCTCTTATTTTTTTGATAGTAATACTAAAAACCTTTGTCTATATCATTTGGTGACCTTTTATTTCTTTCTCTGCCATATCCGTATTGGCAGTTAAAAGTATTGGAACTTTATCAGCCATTTAGTTATCCTTCTAAAGGCTGAAATCCTATTGATGTTTTTATGTAATTATCCAAATAAAAATAACACAAAAAGGATAAAAAAAAATCAAAATGCCCAGATTATAACAACCGTGCAGCACATAAGTCAACTTAATAAAACTTATCTCATACCATTAAAGCCACGAACTGCAGCAGCAACTATATCTCTGGTCCGAGAGTTATATACATCCGCTGTTCTAAATTCCTCCTCAAAAATCCGATCCTAATTAACAAGCAAAAAACAAATGTAGAAATTAGAAACAACGAATCTAAATTGTAAATTATATAATTCTAATCCTTAAAATTTTCTTGCGATTTCCAATAAGTTTCATCGTCTCTTTAATCTCTGTAAGTAATCGAAACATTTTGTAATTTTTGTTCCAATATGATATTATGATCGACCAAAAGAATAACAAAAACAAAATGAGTACCTCTTTGGTTTGATGGATTCACAGTGCTTCAGTCAGTTCAGTGCTTCACGCGGCGTAACTCAAGAACAGATTTCGATTCGAGTTTCGAGACTAGTATTAAACCTAAAATAGTTGATATAATTTATCAGTGCGCTAGTATTAAACCTAAAATAGTTCGATTTGAGATTTCGAGTGTTCGAGTTCGACCAAGCAAGAATATACCTCTGCCGGCTGCGGGCTGCCCTCTAGCTCTGGAATTGGATCTGCTGTGCAGTGTGGTTGTCCGTGACTCCGTGCCCGTGGTCGTCTTGTCTGTGGTGGGAGAGTCTGCAGACTGCAGACGGAGTGAGATTGTGAGAGTCGGAGACGGGGAACGCACGGCGAGGGCTTCGACTCTGATTTTGGATTTGGGTTCCCGTTTTTTGTGGGTTACACTTATTGCGCTGGGAGGGTTTAATTAAAAAAAAAAAAAAAAGGCCCAAAATTATGGGCCCCCTATGGTCCTGGGCCCTGAGGCACGGGCCTCATTCGCCTCGGCCCAGGACCGGCCCTGCTTGCTTGTTCGCTAAAGATCTCATGTCATTGGCACCCAGTGCTTAAGGTAGGGACTAACACGTAGTGGCGGATCCAGGAAAAAATTCAACACGGGCTAATACGTATAAAAAAAAATTACACATAAAAAAAAATTTACTTAATTTTTTTTTTTTTTAATGGACATTTGGGCTGAAGGGGAAGGGCTATAGCACGGCCCAGCCTATTCCTGGATCTGCCCATGCCCACCACCTCACAATGTCATTGGCTAATTTAGCATCCCCTTGACAAATTTTCAAGTCAATCCCATAATAATAAACATGTATAAATTATTTATGGGTTAGAAGCTATTTAGTGTAAGCATAGATATCGTCCTTCGGGACCAGTAGTGCAAGAACACTTGACTTGAGCCATCGGGTTCTTATTTTCCTTATATCGATATGCTATATCAGTGTGTCCCAATTCCTCTAGTTATAAAGAACCAAATGGGTAATGAAGTTGCAACAATTGATTTCTTTGGGAGTTCCTGTCGGTATTGAAAACGTTATTAGTTCCTTGATTCATTCCGTGGCGCTAAATTGCTATTTCGATTGGACTGATCTTTTCTCTCTCTTTCCTTTCTTTCACGAGCAAATCTGAGAACCAAAGTGTTCCTTTGCAAGGGTTGAGACCAACATGCGACTTAGGTTATAGGGTGAGGACCAACACTACGACGTTTGAACAATTACTTTGCACTCCTTAGTTTTCACATGCAAATAATTAATGCACAAGTTGTTTAATATAATTCATGGTTATCCATGCACCTCCTTTATCCTCTGGAGACCACTGCCTAAATCTTGAGGGAGTTTTCGGTTGAGCATTAATTGAATATGGTTGTTGATATTGCCAATTGTACCTCGCATGTGGTTGAGTTGACCCTTTACATGCAGGTATTTACATTCATCAATGATGATCAAAGTTAATGATAAGCAACATTGCTCTTGAACTTTTGGGAAGAACGACAAGATTGAATGAATCATGTTACTCATCATTACTTGGTAATCATCAATTGCCCACATAGATAGAGCACTGAACCCCTTAATTGATTGTTGAATGGAGTTGTGATGCATGCATTGGAAAATGAATGAAGACGCTCAATGCCAATATGCCACCTGATTCATGAAGATCACAACACTTGGAATGAGAATTGAGTTGCAAAATAGCATAATATGGACCAATTTGGTCAAGCTTAAAAAGTATATTCATTAGTATATTTAATTACTTATAAGTAAAGTTTAAAATAATTAATTTTTTAAATCTAGTTGAATTAAAGCAAGTTACTTAATTTAATAGTAAAATAAACTTTCATTTTGAAATAAGAAAAAATAAATTATCAACATATGTTTAGGAAAAAAAAATGTTTTACTTTTTTATTTAAGCTTTGCCAACATGTTTAATAGTAAAACATTCATTTCATGTGACCTATTACTTCTTATCAACTTTTTAATCACATATTTCATTATTTTTATCAAAATCTACTAAAAAACTATTTTTTAGCAAAATTATACAACAACGTTCCAAACATGTCATCACGTGACAAAGCGTATTGAATACAAGCATAAAAAGAGAATTGCAAATCGAGTCTCCCTTAAGACTTGTCATTATTTGCTAACATCACTGTTCGTAACTAATTTTTCCTGGCACTGATCAAATAGTCAATCTTACTATTTCCAACCGTTGAAAAATGTTTATAACTTTATCTATCAAATTGAAGGGTTGAGATAAGTACTTCTGTCCTCACTAGATGCTTTGAAAATGATTGTATACCAACATAACTTTAGCTTAGGTTTTTTTTCATTAGTGCACATTTTTGTTTCCTTGTAAATTACTTTTAAGAAAAAGTTAAAATCAAACTTCAATTTTAACAAGCCATCTTAGTGCAATAACTTTAATGTGTCATTAAACAAAATACGAAGAAATTCAATAGGTGAAACCAAATATTTCTCATGCTTGTATGTACTTCGTTTGGGTCCATATAGTAATGCAATAACTTATGTACTATATAGATTGGAAGAGGCCCATCATGAGATGACCGAGTTGGTGAAGTAAGTGAGCGCGGAGGCCTTTGATCACGAGTTTAATTTCCCTTACCAACATTTTTTTGGTCAAGCATATCGTACAGGACTTGTCTAGTGCGATTTATCTAGATGACGTGATTTGTAGACTATTATGTCAGCTTGTGAGTTTATCCAGTGCACATTTGAAGGATAGCAATTGTAGATTCTCCAGTCATTAAAAAAAAACAAAAGGATTGGAAGGGAGAGAGGGAAAAAAAGAAGTACACTTTAAACTGCTGACTGGAAAAGAAAGAAAAGGCTTTGGTCCAACCACAATAAGTGGCTTCTAAGTGTCTTAAAAATAATAGGTGGTACCAAATCCCAAATTAGGCCATCTGTATCCAACCAATTTGCTCTATTATTGACATGGACCGCCACTTAAAAGTAATTTTTCAATACTTTTAGTTAGATACGATTGAAGCGTCAATATATAAACTTTATTCTTCAGCATAGAATATTATTTTCAAAGTTCGGATAACTTTTATGTGTTGAAGCTGCAAGTAGAAGAACCACTAATAACATTATTTTTTGTCCACGTGTCCCTCTTTTTATATCGTATTCGATTTTATAGTTCTATTACTCTCTTTCTCGCGTGAAACCTTAATTTTGATTTGTATTTTTTTTTTTTTTTAGTTTCACTTTATTTTTTGTAGAAAAAGAAAAGGAAATAGAGAGGTTAATATTGGGAGTTAATAGAAGTTCTTCAATTTATCTTCAGATATTTTGTAAATGAAACTATTCGATTTTATGTAATTTTTCGAATTGAATTGAAACCTCCGGTCTGATCTGGATTTGGTTAAACCATAACTATTTTTAAAATGAAAAACCATAAGCATTCAAAAAATATTCAATTGGTTATGTTATTAAACCTAAAAGGTAAAGTAAGATAAATTATATATTTGAATTTTCCATTAATTTTCAAGATTTCATTTTTAGCTTTTTTAGATCAACTTTAATAAGTTGTACATGAAAAGTCTGGTATCGTGGTGGTGGCATCACCATGAGGTGGGTGACAACGTAGATTGAATTTGAGGTTGCACCAATTTGGCAGGGTTAGAATTTTAAATGGTCGTCAAGGAAATCTTTCCTCTAATGGCACTTCATTTATAGCTTAGGATTGCTCGGATTGGATGATTGAATAAAATTGTCAACTTAAAAATTAAATTTTTGTTCCTAATCTGATTTTGGTCAAGTATTTCAAGAACTGAAATTAGCCATTTAATTTTGGGTCTTTTGTAAATGAAACCAAATTGTTCCAATTAATGTTTGAAGTCGGTTTGAGAGGCTTAAAATGTTCATCCGTTGATATCACAACAAAAACAAAATGGGTCATGCAATCAATGATTTCCTTTTTGATTCTTCTTTTTCTTTAGAATTGTACTTTTGAATATTTAATTACCACCAAAAAAAAGAAAAAAAGTGTGAGGTCTAGTTTTCACTCTCTCTTTACTTTGGTCCTTTTTAAGAAATTTCTTCTTATGGACTTCTATAAATATCGCTCTCAATAACCAAAATGTCATATTAGCATCAATTGATTTTGAGTTTATTTTGCTTGCCCAGCAAAACAAATTTCAAAGTTCTGTTGAAATAAATATACATCATGTCTCAGGTATTTTGTCCTTTGTTCTTCCGGAAATTAATTCTATTATGTTATTGCTGTAATGTTGAATACTCTAGGATTACCCATCTGGTTTTTTTCGGGTTTTTTGCATATGATCTGTTATTCGGATGTGATCAAACGACATATTAGGCGCTGCTCACTATTTGTACTTTTTTCCCCATTCCTATAGCAAATTATGCTTAATCTGTCAAGTATTTTGAGGCTATTCACTTGATTCTACAATTTGGGAGTTCTTCCTTTTATAATAGAAATCAATTCTCGTGTTTTTTCTTTTTCCTCTCTTTTTTTCCCACAAGTTTTTCTATAATTATTTTGACTGTCAATTTTCCCCCAATTTTGTTTTGCATATGAGGTTCGATAAAGAAAAGGAGATTTTAGTAATCGTAGTTGACAACGATGCAATTGTATATGCCAACTGATTTGTTTTACTTTCCGTTACTTAAATCGTATATTTTACGTCACTTCTAGTTATTTATCATTCTGTTATGACTGAGAAAAAAAATTAAAAATTTCTGTATTAAGTTAGTATTGTCTGATTATCATGAATGAAACGACCTGAGATGACTTCGTGGCCTTCGTAAATGATATGAAGTCTCGAATTCTTGAGGGCAGAGATCTATTCTTAATGTGAAGGGGGAAGGCATTATTAAACTTATTAGTGTGCTATTTTGATTGCAGACTGTTGTCTTGAAAGTCGGCATGTCATGCCAAGGTTGCGTTGGAGCCGTGAAAAGGGTTTTAGGCAAAATGGAAGGTTTGTCAGCTCTTCTTGATGTCGACTACGATAAAATAAAATCTAATGTACTAGGTTCAGACCATTAATGATCATTGGAGCAATGACCCACAAATTTTTATTTATTTTTTGTTGCTTTTATTAGATCAGTGTTTCGGTTGATCCTGCAGCTATAATTTCTTATATAACAAGTTCCAAATGTATATGGGTGTATGCAAGCAAATCTTTAATATGAAATCTTATAGAATAATGTTATTTAGCCTCACTAGAAATATAATCCCAGTCTACGTCACATTTCATTTAACTTATCATTTAATGTCACATTACTGCCACGTAAACTAGGATTATGACCCTAATGGGGATAAATAGCACCATTCAATCATATATCCTCGTACACAACTCAAGATTGGTAGTTGAGGTTGCGGTGGAAAGCATTTTGAAGACTCTAATATTGACAAAAACTTCAGTGAACAGGGAGCATAATGATTAATGAGATGACTAGTTTTGATTACCTGACTGGCCAAGTAACCTCTGAACCGCTCGACTGCTCCCATTTTACTATATCCATACATAGAAATGTATGAAGTGTGAAAAAAGTATTTGATGTTTGTAGGTTTTCAATTTACTTTTCGTCATCATTTGGATTGACATTTAAATATACTGGTGCAATATGTTTAGCTCTCTCGAGCCTCTTTCATCGCTTTACGCAGGATTTAGAAGCTATTTTCTTAATTGTATTTAGAGATAAATGGTAATTCAAACTGTCTCACAAATGTTATGACCTCGCCCTTCGCTTGGGGCGTTTTGATTAGCTTTTGATGGTGTCTATTGGCGAATGTATGTAGTTGTATTATTATCATCAACTGACTAAATTGAATCTCATATCCTTTTTTAATTGGAGTAGGCAATAGCTTCTTCTATGCAATGCATGTTTGGCTAAGCTTTTATTGAAAAACATGTTTGGATATGTTACTATGATATCACCACCTAGATGCCAGATCCACCACCAATGCTAACTTTGACATGTTGGGGATTTTAAAAATTTAGGCAGAGTTTCCTGTAAACTAAACTGAACTAACCTAAGCTGAAAAGCAATAAATTTCCCAAACGCGTACATTTTCTTATTCTAAGTTAAAAAAGTTGCTTATTTTGAAAGTAAATCTTATTGACTCATTACACGGTCTTGTACAGGTGTTGAATCTTTTGACATCGATATTGAGCAGCAAAAAGTGACCGTGAAAGGCAATGTCCAGCCAGAAGCTGTTCTGCAGACCGTTTCAAAAACCGGGAAGGTATCTTCTTTCTGGGAAGCAGCAGAAGTACCAGAATCAAAGCCAGCTGAAACACCGGCCCCACTAGAGTCAAAGCCTGCTGAAGCACCAGAATCAAAGCCAGCTGAAACACCAGCCCCACCAGAGTCGAAGCCTGCTGAATCACCAGCTGAGGCAAAATCAAAGCCTGCTGAAACGCCAGCTGAGCCAGAATCGAAGCCTGCTGAAGCACCAGTTGAGCCGGAGTCAAAGCCTACAGAAGTTGTTGTTGTTGCATAAGATGTTTCTTTAGTCTCTCGACTCTCTGGGAATGGAATTGTGTTGCGTGCTGGAGTTTTTGCACGTTTGTATGCAAAATATATCCTATAAAATTAACTTCTTAAAAGCTCTTTTATTTTTATTGATGTAATACAAAGCGTACGGTGACACCACTTTGCTTCTATCCTACCTTTGTACTGTAATGGGAGTTATTTTCGCCGTCGGCATTAACTTGTCTCTTACTGGCTTTTCCCATGAGATTATGCTTTGGATTTAGAAGCTTTTAATTCTTCTCCTACTCGAGTTAAAGTATACTGAACTATACAATTTTTAATTATTTTTTTTATGTCAAATCTCTTCTTCCTCGTTTGGCTTCCCATTCTCCTTTTCCTTTACGTCCAGAGCTTTATACTATTTTTTTCATTATTATTTTCAACCACACATTCTTAAAAAAGTTAATACTCTAAAATACATTTTCTCTAAGATCAATTTTTAATGGAGCCCAAACGAGGGCATAGTTTCTTCTAGAAGAAAGAATTACTTAACTCAATGTTTATAAAATCTTTCCCATATTACTACTTACTAAGAAATGGAATCCATTGATCACTCAACTATTCAAATGGTCACCCATCCATCACTTGTTTGAAATTCATTACTCTCACTTGAAGGAAATGTATACTTGTCTGACAGCATTCATATACGTTGCATGTTTTGTTAACTACAACCACCTATAAGTAAATCATGGTCATTATATTTTTTCTTGTTACTACTTGTCAACCTAAAAATAAAAGTCATTGGTAACTCAATTATTCAAACGATCCATTAATCTCACTTGATGGAAATGTCCACATGAAATATGAAATTCATATGAGACGCTTCACCTTATTAAGCCCTAATTTGATAACCATTATTTTTAAATTCTTTTTTTTTTCTACGTATTTATTTTCAAAAATCATACTACTTGTAAAATATTTTTTTACAATCTTGGTTGACAACACACTTGAAAATATCACATTCGTTTGTTTTAAAAATTATTTTTTAAATCGATTGTCCAAATTTTGACAACATCAATGTTGTCAATTGCAATTGTGAATAACAATTGTACAAATAACTTTATTCTTATTTGTAATCATATATTTACACAATAAAATATTTTACACGTAAATTTAAAATTTTTCTTATTTTTTAACCACACATTTTTCTAAAAATTATTATTCAAAACTAGACTAAATACAACTGCATATTAAAACGTATCTTTGCTTTTGAATAGTTGCAAAGTATTCTATTCGGTATGATTGGACTTTAATCTTGATTCTTAAGCTAGAGACTTCCCCCGGTTTATAGAAACCACTAGAACCCTGACCGGTCCAACAAATTAGTATTTATCTTATAAACCTGGGATTGGGGTTGACTTTGGAAAATCACTCGAAGTCTCTCTGTCATCAGTAACCGAGCCAAAAATGGCAATGAGATCTGTCGTTTCACGTGGTGGATTAGGTCGCTTAAGGGAAATCAACTGGCGATCGTCGGCCTCCGGCCTTCGCTACTTGAGCGATAGCGGCCGTGTCCTCAGTGAAGAAGAACGCGCTAAGGAAACAGTCTACATTCAGGTTTCACCGACTTTCCATTCTGCAATTATATTGATTAATTCTACCTTAGTTGTTTCTTATAGTGCTTTATTTGATTGAGTACTGATTTTTTATTTTCGTTTGGGTGGGGGGTTTGAAGAAAATGGAGCGGGAGAGACTGGAGAAGCTGAAGAAGAAGAAGGAGAAAGAGAAAGCTGAGAAAGAGAGAGCTGAGAAAGTAAGCACTTTTAAGATTAAGGCCTTATTGTATGTTCTTTAATTTTTATTTTTTGGTTTGTGTTAAAGGAGGAAGGTCAACCTTTAGAACTATTTCTGAAGCATTACAAATTCTACTAATCTGGAATGATTCGAAGATAGCATATCACTTATAAGTAAATAAGTAAAACTTTCACCGATCAAAGTTGAAAAGCAACTTCTATGAAATTGCCCCTTTTTTGCCAAGTTTTGATCTGATCTTTGTTTTCCAGCATTTTTTATTTTTAATCTGTTGCATTAGCTTTTAAACTTTTCTTTATTATCATCTTATGTTTTTTAATCCTTTTTGGTTTATCAGAAGGCTGAGGAAGAGACTCATCAGAACTGAAATGGTTTGTTTATGGTGCACTGACTTTTGAATGCTTGCTATCTAGGACTTATGAGAAATAAATGTATGTCACACTGGGTAATTCTTAACGAGGCTCGGTCATTGTATAGTGTTTGATGACTATATCTTGAATGGTATCACTGCGAGTCGTGCTGTCAAAATATGCTTGTAAAACTTTTCGAGTTTTTGGGGTGTTCTCTTTAATAGTTATTGTGCATATGGTTTATTTTGTTTGGCATTGAGAGTAAATTATAGGTCTTAATTCATACTTCTAGACTCAACCTACTCAAAGATATTTAGGAGAATAGTATTATTCTTCAGTCACGCACAAAGAATGTAGCATAAAATTCTAAACCTTAAGAGGATGATGCATAATGACTGAGTGAAATTTACTCCATTACTTATTGAGTTGGATGTTTCAGTATGTTACTGATACCTTATATCAAAGTGATAGTACTCTTAGTCGTTTAAACACACACACAGCTCCTTTTAGTACAGTAATGTTTTTCCTTCCTACTTGAACCTTTTGTCATCTCATTTTAATCTTGTATATATTCATTCCTGTCCAAATCAAAACAATACCCTTGGCGGTTCCCTCCTGGCATCTAGGTTAATAAAGTTTAAACTAGCATCATCGGTAGTTGATGGTTCATTGCAGAATAGAACATTTTGAGTGACGAGCTTACTAGTGGTACAAATTTACAATACCAGATAAGAGTTGTGATTCTATGCATTAAAGACACTAAGAACAGGGGGCGATCGTATAAAATGGAATGAACAGTCAACCAATATGGTCGTCAAACACTAATGATAGGATTCTCAGTCAAGCAATTTGGGATTGAACTTGACATTCTATACACGGTAACGGGGCATTTATTAGAAAGGATTGCTGGCAATTTCTTGTCATGTGTCTTTCTTAATCTTGTCTAGTCTGGTATATTTCAGTGGATTGTCACACCATTTATATCTACACTAGCTTTATGCAAAATAATATCCCTATAGCAACTGCACTAGGCCATGCAACAATTAGGTACCTTTCTCTACGCTTCATCTCGGCATCAGAAATCAGAAATTATGGGGACCTTCTTGACTGGGAAGATTGGTAGGAGACGGCTTCTTTTCGCCACTAGTAACAGCATCTGCGGGGTTGTTGCCTCCTTCATTGGGAAGATTGGTAGGCGAGGGCTCCATTTCACCACTATTGACAACGTCCGTTGGGTTGTTGCCGCCTTGACTGGGAAGATTTGTAGGCGGGGGCTCCATTGCACCATTATTGACGGCGTCTATTGAGATGCTGCCTCCTTGACTGGAAAAATTGGTAGACGAGGGCTCCATTGAACCACCATTGATGGCGTCTGCTGGGTTTTTGCCTCCTTGACCAGGAAGATTGGTGGGCGAGGGCTCTATTGCACCACCAGCGTTGGTGGCAGTCATGTTGTAGCGACCACGACGATGAACTCTGATGGGCTGAAGCGTTATTGCTCCACAATTGATGTTGAGACGCTTGTAATATCTGTGAGCATGACTACCTACCTGTGTTGGGGTTCTTGACCGGACAACATATTTTGCGATCTCAGTCAATTGACCTTTGCCGTATTCATTGAGCCCTTTCAAAAATAACCTGCAGATTGATGTTAGTATAACTAAAAGATCACATGCCATTGTCATCCTGCCAACAAGTATATGCAAAAAAACTGGTCTGATGTTATTCATTGGGTCGGCGAATTTGTCATTTTGACATCATTGACTGAATTAAACAGTAAAAAAAGAAAAAATAATAAGTCCTTGTTTGATTTCCATTACTTTAAAAATTCATTTTTTGAAAACTTATTACACATTTTTTAATAAAATAATATTATACGTAAATTCAAAACTTTTCTTCATCAATCTACTATTGAAAATGTATTATTTTCCCCAAAATGAGTATCAATCAAGGGCTAATAAGATTTTATCCGTTGTCCTCTACAGTTTATTGATTACACAATAAACATTCTGATAATAACAAAATTCGATCATTTGTAAAATATAAAATCTTGCAAATATATATAATTCCAACCAAATAGGAAGATCCAACCAAATATGAAGATTTTTTTATCAAAATAAATCAAGGAAACACGTACCAAAAATAATATAAAAAATTAACATCAAGAAATAATAGAAAATAAAGAAAGCAATTATTTTGCGTAACAATAAAAATTAACATCAAGAAATGATTTAAACTTCAGAGAAATCCAATACAAAAGAAATACTGATGAATGCACATAGATTTAGCCCCTCTTTAGCCCCCATTACATTAAATTACATTACATTTCATTTGTCTCTCTCTTACTTTCAACCACACAATCTTTCATAAAATAATATTACGCTTAAATCAAAAATTTTTACTTTTTTTCCAACCATTCATTTTTCAAAAAAATACCATTCCACCAATTTTTACTTCGAAAAATAGGGTTCAAAAGGTGGCTTATATTCTTGTTTGCTTGTATGTATATAATACCTGTGTTCTTCTTCGGTCCAACGGGGCCCATCATCGTTGACAACTCTACTACTCGGCCTGGAAGAAATCTCACAGGAGTGAATCGAAGTCTCAGTTGACTCATCGTGGTCAATCGGATTATTGATTGAGTCCGCTTTCGCTTCGTTATCAGGAAAATCAAAGACAGAGATTAAAGAATCCACGAATAAAGCATTGTAATGGGCCTTGACGTCTTCCGGCGACTTCCCCGGCAACCGACTGGCGATCTTTTCCCAGCGATTCTCAACCTCTTCCGGGAACTCTTTTAGCGCATCCTCATAAAGCTTGTCATCGTCTACACTCCATTTCATCTTCGGCGCTGGATTCCCTCTCGGATTATCTATCACTTCGCAGTTTGATCAGTTTTGAATCAATGCGCTTTTGCTTCTTTTGTTTTTGATTTCGGGTAATTTTCCAAGAAGGTTTTGAGAGAATTTCAGAGGGTTTTATGGGTGAAAGTTACAACAGAAAGAGAAGGAGGTTTTAGGAGCGGGAAATAAACCACCTTTCATTTTTATTTTTATTTTTCAAAAAAAGTTAATTTCTCTTGTAGAATTAAGAAATTATGATTAATTGATCAAGAGTTTGTTTAAAAAAAAAAAAGGTTGAACCCCAACCCTAAGGGTTCCCGCCGTCGCGCTCCTAGAGCTTTGTGAGGAAGGTAAATCGCGAGATGTGCCCTAGCAAGCGAGGGAACAAGAACTGTCTGTACATTGTGCCTACAAGGAGTCTAATTTCATGTTTCAAGAATCGAACCACCACACTACGGCTGTCAGCAAGGCGTGAAATAATCTCACTCCTATCCTTTACACCACTAGGTTATGCCTCGAGAGACGATCAAGAGTTTATTTATTCAAAGGAAAGAGAGGGGAAGAGAGCAAAAGATAAATATATACACGCGCAATTTCGTGCCAATTTAAACAAAGAATGAGATTAAACGAGGATGAGGTTAATTAAAGGCTAAAACCATAATTATTAAATCAGGCCGAGTCATTGACTCAGTCGAAGTATTGGATCAATATTATAACTGGCGACGAGAGTATGGAGTGTTACCAGTAAAATTGTCTATAGATTTTGGATTTTAAGTCCCTGTTTGAGCCTCATTCTCTAAGCATCACAAACTCTTTTTTTTTTTTCTGTCCAAAAATGAGGGTCAAACAAAGCCTAAAAGCTATGTACAAGAGCCGTCAAATTGATGAGGATAACAACCAGATTCTCAACTTGGAAAGGGAATTAGATGAGTCATATGTGAAAGAGGAAGTGTGTTGGACATGATGTCACATGACATTCTATCATCGAACTGTTTTAAATATAATCAATTTTTTATTTTATCAAATTATCTACTGCCATCTCGAATTATGTCATTGCATATGTTAAGTTTCTTCTGATAAAGTGCCAAAATCCTAAGGTACAAGGCAATGAAGCATGACATGAGTCACGTTTATAATAGAGTGGACTGGAATTATTATTTTATTTTTTTTATGATGGGGAACCCGCAGCCGCTGCCTTTCGGGTGCGTACTGGGTAAACTATCAGGCTAACGCAATAGCCTGCCAACCAAGTAAATCGCACTAGGCAAGTCATGTGCGACATGTTTGACCGAAAAAGTGTTGATAGGGGGAATTGAACTCGTGATCAAAGGTTTTCGCGCTCATCTACTCCACCAACTCGACCACCCCATGTGGGGTCGAGTTGGGTTTCCAACGCACTAAAGACAGCTCGTAGAAGTATGTATAACAACGCTATCTCTCTCTTTCCTTAATAGCGGAGTACTAAGGGGCCGAGTTTCGGGGTCTACGACAGGATTGCCACTATCTCCTTACATTTTTTCTACTGTGTGCAGAATGTTTCCTAGATTGTTACATAGAACAGAAATTGAAGTGCAAATTCAAGATTTAGCTGTAGTCAAAACTACCCGTTTGCAGATGATAGTTTGATTTTCAACAAGATTTCGCCAAGTGATTGACGTTTATTGAGGTGTCGGATCCAAAAGTTAATGTCATGAAATCAACGATTCTTGAATTTTTTGAGTGGAACAAATATAACCATATAGTAAATAAAAATATATGGCATGAACTCTATACGGACCAAGGCCTACTTAAAATGGTGTATAGCCTATTTTATGAATTCAGTACTATCTAGATCGGTGTTAATTAGCATTTGTGATAGAGGCTTGCAGCCTGCCTAGCGGCATGGTGACTGATACAAAATCAAGCAAGAACATTGACACAAATCATGATTGATTAATTTGTGGACGAAAATTGAAAAACAATCAATAATGAACAAAAGCTCCAAGTGTTTTATTTAATTAAAAAACACTTTACTTATTATAGAACATTAGAAATAAAATAAAACATTTAGCTAGCGAAAATAAAATTTTGAATTTGATCATGACGATATTTCAATCAACTCCATCATTCTCGTCTAGTTGAAGAAAATTCGTCCCCGAATCTTGCAGTGCCTTCATCTCGTGTCTAGTAACAATGGCATTCGATTCAATGAGTCAACTGTGGCATAAGTTTCAACCCTAAAAGTTCCTCTCTATCTCAAAAAAAAAAAAAAAAAAAAAAAAAAAAAAAAAAAAAAAAAAAAAAAAAAAAAATCATACTGCAGCAACTAAGAGCAAAACTCCGTTGCTTTCAAGGCACTCTGTGATTGATGAATCATTTGGACCTTCCTTTTACAGCACTGTCAAGCCACTAGCTGTTATTGCCTTGTATGAAGACCCACGAGTACTTTGGCTGCTGTTTCCAATAAATTTTATGCTAATTCTGCTCTTTGTTTTGAAGAGACTAAACTCTAGTTCAAAGGCGCAACAGCTTCAATTTTGTGGTTTATCATGAACCATATTCATGGAAAGAGTCACCAGAAGCAATTTGTGATAGTGGTTCTTAAAGCCATTGAAAATAACATATCACTAACAAAAGAATTGGATTCACTAAACCATAGCATCTGTTTGTTATAAAAATTGGGAGATTTCTGTCAGTGAAATTGCCTTTATCCTTTCTATTATTTTTTCCCAGTTTCGAACTCGTCTTTGATGATCATCTTATGTTTTCAATCCTTCTCTGATTGTTAGAAGGTTGAAGAAGAGAACCAAACCTTAGTCAATTGTTATAAAGTTTAAACTGGCATCAACATCAATACCAGATTGTTCAGTCCAGAATAGAACATTTTGAGACGGTGAACTTACTATCACTATAATACCAGATAAGAGACGTGATTCTACACGTTAAAGACACCGAGAACTCGGACAACTATATAAAATGAAATGATCAGACAACCAATATGGTCAAGGGTATGTTGGGAATCTACTTATACATACACAGCGGAATTTAAAATAATTTTCGATTCCCACCAAGAATCGCCTTTGTGTTTAGATAGAAATTGTGATAAGATTATACCTTTTTCAGATCTGCAATCCTTTTGCTTTTCTTTTCGTTCCACAACTTTGATTCGCCACCACAGCTGTCCAACTGTCCAGCCTCCAACGGTGATCCACACAGAGAATATGATTGCAGTCTCTAGGATTTTCTCTTGTGCCAGCAAGAATAATGAAAACCCATATGGACCTCAAACCCTAGTTATGTGTTTATATAAACCCAAACAGGCTCGGCTCGGCCCGGTCCGGTCCAATAATTAATTAATCCAATTAATTAAACCCGGTCCGTGAATTAATTAATCTAATTAATTAATTCGAAAATATAAATAACAAATCCAATTAATTAATTTATCCAACGATTGTTAAATTAACCAATTGGCAATTTGCAATCTTCCAATTCTCTTTTGTGTGTGACCCATTAGGTTCCCGACCACGATGCCTAACGACGTGAAATATTATTTTGATCTAATCAAAATTGATAAATTAAAACACTCTTTTAATTTATCGTCAATTCACATTCGCCGTCCCTGATTGACATCTAGCAATGTGTCAGGGCAATACATGTGACGGGAAATGTCACGTGGTATGACAAAA